ATCTCCCTCTTTGGAATAGAAATCGTAAAACAGATTGTAAATTGAAATAACAAGAAACTAATGATTTAGTAAATGAAAATATTGAGTTGTGGTTTTAAAGATAATCAAACAAACCAGTCTCAGACACAATAGAGAACCTCGCTGATGGATATTTCACCAACACACCTTCAATAGGTGGAGAAATTGGACTGAACATTTCAGAAAACACCTGAATGAAGCGTTTTCCTCAAAGCGTTGGTCAACATTTTAGTTAAGGAGCTCCATCAGGCTTGTTTATTTTGTTTTTGGTTTATTTATTATTATTTCTGATGAACCCGAACATGTTTTGATTCAAATTAGGGTTGCTTCAGCACCCCACAAAATAGGCTAAAACCCCCTATGGTTATTAGCTATCGAGTCTTTTAGTGGAATTATGAGAGAATTAAGTTAATCAACTGAATAGCTAATATGGTAATGGATCAAACAACAAAAACAGAAGAAGTATAAATAGGATACTGTTTTAATGTCTCAATGGTGACTGGGTTTGATACTATTCAAGAAATATGTAAAATCTGACATTTCCACATTTAGATTATTATTTTTTTAATCTAAGAAATAGTTTTTATAGTTTAATTTCTAAAACGTGCTGCATCAAGGAATCAGTGCAAATTAGTTTTTCTTTTCTTTATTATGTCCATTGTTTCATGCAGGGATGGTCATTCAGCTCTGGTTCACGGCTATGAAGGGACAGACTGCACCTTGCTCATCTGCACTCTGGCCCAGCTCATCATGGACCCAAGCTGCCGAACGCTGGAGGGCTTCCTGGCTCTCCTGGATAGGGAGTGGCTACAGGTGGGGTCTCTTTGTGTTTAGAATACAAGAAAAGAGTTTTTTAAATCATACTTTAAAATACCATATTTTTATGAATATATTTAACAAAGTTTACTAAGATCATTCAGATTTGAAATTGTAAAGGAAAATTTTTATCTATTTAAACTTTGCATACTCCAGGACATTACTCAAATGTTATGACGTTACACCCAAAGTGATATTTTGTTGGGATGTTATGTGACATAACAACAAAATGTGCACAACTCAGCAGAGGAGAGAACATTATTTAGCTTTTAACTTTTTGCAAAGGGATTTTGTTGTGCCCATGAGTAATACTTCAGGACCAGCTTTCACTAAGATTACAGCTTTTCGCATCTTCTCACCGCCTCTTCTTTGCAAAATATGCAGCTCAAGCTCAAACTGGAAGAGTCTGTCTTTGAGCAATAAGTGTTGCCACAGATTTTATTTTGACTTTAAGTCTGAACTTTGACTGGGCCATTCTGCAACAGAAATTTGATCATTCTATTGTAGCGTTGGTTGTATGTTGCAGCCTCAAACATGTTTTCCTCTAGGATTATCTCATATTTTGTTCTGTTTAGCCTCATCAACTGTTTGCTGTCATGGTGGCTGCAGCAGCTTCTCCAGCTCCTGGGATTAAGACTTAATGTGATTGATTTGAAGCTGATTTATGTACCACTTTAGTGCTAAACTCACAGCCGAAGCACAGCTTAACCAAACTGATGGCCATCTGGGACAATTCCGTTATTATTAAATTCACCAAGGCTGAAATCAACACAGGGTAGACAGTGGCTCTTGATGACAATGGAATGGAGCAGTAGAGTGTCGGGAGCAACGGTGAATTCACCAGGAGTGCCAAAACTTCCTGTGTTTTTAGCAAAGACCATCAGCAACTCTACTTCCTCAGGAGGCTGTAGAGAGCTGGACTCAGGAGCTCAGTCCTGAGGAACTTTGATCTCTGTGTAATGGAGAGCATTCTCTTCTTCTGCATCACGGTGTGGTATGGCAGCTGCACTGCTAGTAGGAGGATAGCTCTGCAGAGGGTGCTTTAGGCGGGACAGTGGACTGTAGGGATCAGCCTTCCCGCCACCTTGCTCCACTACACATCACAGTGTGTGCAGGATGGATAAAGGACTCATCCTGCACACAGTCTGCTTCAGCCTTTCCCCTCAGGCAGGCAGCTGAGGAGCATTCAGAGAAAGACCACCAGGCTCAGAAACAGCTTCACTCTGAAACTATTATAATCCTGAACTCGAGCAGCACTTAAAGGTATAGAGGACGATCTTTTATTTCCGGGTGGATCATCAAAATAAGTTGTCCTCCCAATTGTCAATCCTTCTGGTCATATGTTTAGGTGAGGCTGCCCTACATGCTCGCCCTGTTAGCTATCTTTCTATCTTTTTCAGTGCATGTGCACTGTCAGCCACATATGTGTGGTGAGCTACGGTTTCAGACGGTCATTGAAGCTCACCTTTTTCACAGCGTTTTATTTATAAATGGCCACGGGTTGTAAGAGAAAAAGAGAAAAAGGCCTCAGAAGAGGCAGATATATCCCAGAATGCTTTGCGCAGAGAGCTCTCCTCACTAAGAATTATGGGATTTGCTGTCCCAGCGGCCCGCTGTCACCATAGGCTGTTGCTAACTGACAGCGGCGACTAATAACAAAGATATGGTACCGGCACCACACAGTGGAGGAGGAGTTACGTGACCAACGGGGAGCAAAAAGCTAAATTTATCTAGTGCATGCTCTTGCAAGTGGAAATTTTTTAAGTGAAGAAGATGGGTCTTTTTAAAAAATTTATTGACAATACCTTTATTTCAGCTTCATCTCATTGTCTTTTTCTAAATTATTTAGTCCAAATTTAATTCCACAAACTTGCAAATGTGAAATGGTATGACAATAAAAAAGGATTGAATTCTAATATCAACTACACAAACTTTCTTGTCCTTGTTGAAGACAAGCATCGCCGCTTCGTGATGCTGCCATCGCCATGTATCAGGGGAGACATTCATGGTAATCAGGGGTTCTTGTATACAGAATTTTGAGTGTTGGTTTTAAATCAATTTTATAGCGATCTCATTAGAGCAGATCTTTGGTGAGTCCCCAATATTGAGCCCTTGGCAGCTTTTCTAATAAATATTATTGCTTTTATGTGTTTAGGTGAGTGCTAGTGCAAAGTTGTGTGAAGCTTTTTCTATTTGCAGTTGATAGTACAAACACAGCTCCTTATGAAATCCAAAGTTTGGAAAATTGTTTTAAATCTGTTCCTAATCTGAAAATTGCTTTATCTTCATTTCTAAGCTGTTTCTTTTTTCCTTTGAACTTCATAATGCTATTTGTTAACTATTTTAATATAAAAGATATGAGGCCTTTACATTTTTTCACCTATTTGATGTTAAGTGCAGTGCATGGTCTTTCTTGCAGGCAGGACACCCGTTCCAGCAGAGGTGTGCCCATTCGGCCTACTCCCACGCTCGCCTGCAGTATGAGTCTCCAGTCTTCCTGCTCCTGCTGGACTGTGTTTGGCAGCTTTGGCGCCAGTTCCCTCTAGCGTTGGGTTTCTCTGAGGCGCTGCTCCTTAGACTGGCAAATGAGGTCTATGCTTCAGACTACGGCACATTTCTGTGTAACAATGACCAGGAAAGGTTCGTTCAATCGTGGTTGTTTTTACTCAGTAAGAATTATATTGCAGAGCTCAGTGCTGTGCGTTGAAACTAATTCTCATTTTCAGGTGTGCCCTGGGAGTGAAGGACCGAACTCACTGTTTGTTCTGGGCCCTGCTGAGGCCATCAGAGAGAGACTACTACTCAAACCCTCTGTACGAGCCCACAGAGCTGGCCATCTGGCCCTCAGTTCACCCTCAGTCTCTACAGCTATGGAGAGGTAAGCTACCATTTCCTTATAATTGAACTTTATTGATCTCACATTGGAGAAATTTACCTCTGCATTTAACCCATCCCCTTGGGGAGCAGTGGACTGCTATTGTGGGGCTCCCAGGGAGCAATCAGGGGTTAAGGGTCTTGCTCAGAGAGCCAGAGTGGCAGCCTGTTGGAGTGGAGCTTGAAACTCAGAACCTCAGGATTCCAAGCTCAATGCTCTAACCACTAGGCTGCCATACCCCCATTGCATGCATTCTTAAACTTCTGTTATTGCACTCCAACATGTGAACATTACAGTGATCCCTGATATGACTTTCATCTGATTCCCAGGCTTTTTCCTGAGGTGGACACAGCAGGCGCGCCATCTTGAGGCAGTTCAAGAAGAAATAAGAACCATGGTCATTGAATGGGCCAGGGCGACTCAGAGGTGATGCCTCTACAAAGATATTACAATTTTATTGTAATTAAGTTGTTCACAGAGAAATATTCAAATATTCCTTCTATGTTTATATGTACAGTGTTTTTTTTTTTACGTAATAAAAGCTGAATTTTACAGAAACCTGAATGTTGTTGTGATTTTAGATTATTTTAAAAATTTAACAAAAGTAACAGAAAATGATTAATCTGGCAATTTGAAATACACCGATTTTGATTTAACATCAGTTGCTTTTATTATTTACCCAAACCCTATGCATAAGCAGAATATTGAGGGAAAAACCTCCCCTAACCGGAGAACGGGAGGGAGCTAGAATCAAGGAGAAAAAAGCATAGGAAATATAGAATAACTCCTAGAAGTCTGCTGCCATACCTACAAAAATAAGAATGAAGAAAAAAAAAGACAGCACAGCATCTAAAACAAAAGTTGGAGTCTTCTATGGACTTCCAGTAACTCCATGCATATAAACATAAAAAGCAAGACTTTCACAATCTTATTTAAAGCTAAACATAATTGGAGCTGCATCTTAGAATTAAGCATAACCATATATGCATGAACATCTAGATGCCAATGCTTGAATGGTGTATACCCATGAGTGTGCTTGTGTATATAAGGTTTATATTACTCCATCAGAAATACATGCTCAATAGTAGGTGTGAGGGGCCTCAGACCCACCCCAAAGAGCTCAGGGCTGACACAGAGAAGACCAGAAAGCCAAATGTCTAAAGGCATTACAGAGTAAAGTGACACCGGGAGGGCAGATCCTGCAATACGGGACACAAGAACCTTTACACAGGTAGTCCATAAATATAATTTTTATTACTTGAGCCTTTTAGGCAGATCTCAGATGGTGTTAAACCCATCCTTAACATCCATTGACCTGTATAGTGTGATCTATGAATTCTGTATTGTATTAGTTATAAATAAGGATTTACAGTCATTTTAAGACTATATGGTTTCAAAGTCACTTTCCAAAAATCTTTTTAAGGCAGCACTTTCAATTATTGGCAATCTCTCAAGGCCATTTTTAAGGATGGTGCTACTAAAAGCTTTAGTCGTCTATTTCCACTTTGCTCTGTCACTCAGTAGATGACCTGGTAAATAATCTTAATTTCAGGTCAGACATCTTCGATTCAGTTGCTCCAATTCTGAGAAGAAGAAAAAAATCAGTCAGGTGTTAAAAAAATGGCAGAAAAACTGAGCAGAGGTGGTAAAAGTGGATTCCAGCTTGAATATTAAGATATATAAAAAAAGAACTCTGTAGATGTAACTTACAGTCTTTTTTTTAATGAACTGATTCAGACAAAATGCCACAAAATGGAGAAATTTACCTCAGCATCTTCTTGGGGAGCAGTGGGCTGATATTGTGGGGTGCCCAGGGAGCAGTGTAGGGTTAAGGGTCTTTCTTAGAGACCCAGTTTGGCAGTCTGTGGGAGTGGGCCTCAAACTCAGAACCTCAGGATTCCAAGCTGTATGCCCTAACCGCTAGGCACACACTCCCCTTAAGGTGTTTGATGACATTGTAAAAAAGCAGAATGGAAGAACCACAGTGTTGATTGCTTGATTTTATTAGAGTGCCTGGAAAACTGGGTTAGCCTTTTTGGTTAAACACTAGACTGGTTTGACTCCTACTTGAAGGACAAGGAGTGTTTTGTGTCAGTAGGTAACTATATATCGTATGGTCCCTCCTATTTAATATCTACACTTTACCCCAAACTCGTATTTGTCACAGTCTTAGTTTTCCATTTGTTGTCCTCTGCTGCCCTCTTGTGTCCTCTTTCCCTTGCTCTGTTTTCTNCTAGGCACACACTCCCCTTAAGGTGTTTGATGACATTGTAAAAAAGCAGAATGGAAGAACCACAGTGTTGATTGCTTGATTTTATTAGAGTGCCTGGAAAACTGGGTTAGCCTTTTTGGTTAAACACTAGACTGGTTTGACTCCTACTTGAAGGACAAGGAGTGTTTTGTGTCAGTAGGTAACTATATATCGTATGGTCCCTCCTATTTAATATCTACACTTTACCCCAAACTCGTATTTGTCACAGTCTTAGTTTTCCATTTGTTGTCCTCTGCTGCCCTCTTGTGTCCTCTTTCCCTTGCTCTGTTTTCTGTTCTGCCCTCACCTGTTTTCAATCCCCTCGTTAGCCCTCTCTTTGTCTCTGTCCCCTTTAAAAGCCCTCCCTCTTCAGTTCCTGTTTGCTGGATCCTCGTCTAACGTCTGTATTCCTACCTCGTCTCTCCCTGGTTCCTTGAGTTTGGTTTTCCCCTGATGTCTCCTTGGTTCTGGTTCGTTTGTTATTTTTGTTGGATTTTTTTATTCCTGCCTCCCGTTCCTGTGAACCTTATTAAACCCACCTAAATTCACCTCTGCCTACTTGCCTCTGCATTTGGGTCCTCAATCAAACACCAAATCCTGACAGTATTTTATGAAACTACAAAATAAATTTCCATATCTATGCAGACAACTCGCAGTTTATACACAGATTACACAGATTATAATGTCACCAAATTACTATAAACCCATTCAAGGCTTGAATAAATGTATTATGGAAATCAAAGCATGAATGTGCTGATTGAAACAGAAGAAAAGTTATGCAGCTTCAGTTATTACACCTAAAAAATACAGATGAGGTCCAAGATCTGAGAGTACTGAAGGACTCAGACCTGAACCTTCAAAGGCGACCAACACAACCATACATAGTTTAAAATCAATTATATTGATCTACAATAAAACAATGTTCTAGAAAAGCCTCTGGTTGGCCTCTTTCAAATAATGGTCAAGAATGGAGATCAAACACTTATACTTGCTGTAGATATGAGTTGTTTTACTGAATGAACCATAGCCAGCCTTCTTCTCCAGACTAACAATTACAGAGGTGTTTAAAAGGGAGTATGTAACCACACGTTATGTACAGTGGAAGGATATACAACTGACACACCCCTCAGTCCTGTTAAGCTCAGCTAAACAGTCTTCACAATGCAAATCCCTGTGCACAGCATGTCAGCATGTTTGGCCTGACGGAGCTTTGCAGGATGGAGACTGTTGTCCAGCTCAGTCAGGAGGGACAGACCACTGTGATTTACAAAAAGGTGAAGCAGAACCAAGTCGGCCAGCATGTCTCTCTACACATGCATTTTTAACCAATGGTTACTGAGAGTTTTGAGAATGTGATTTGGGGGCTAAACAAATGCAGTACTGCAATTTTTTTTTTTGAAGAATTGTTGTTGATATTCTGAGTTACATCAGCCCACCTTGGATCAACAGTCAGCTTTCTAGGCTTTCTGAGTTTCCCAGCGAAAAGGTAATTTATGTCTTTTGTTTCTTTTGATGTTAAAGAAACACAAATATAATTTTCCTTGTAATGTATTTAATCGGTGTGGTATTTTAACTTTTCTAAGGCCTGATAGTGGATATGCAGCCTGGGGTTCAGGTGTGTATGCCAGCTGCTGCGATGCTGGGTGTGCTGTGCCGAGGCTGCCTCAGCAGGACGCAGCATCAAACCAGTCGCAGCTTCAACTCTTGGCCTAGGAGGATGAGTAGATGGAACAGTCAGGAGTCCTTAAGCACTGATACTCATCAGGAAAGTCCACGTGTACTCATCACAGGTGAAGCCTAATTCTAGCCTTAAAATGTTTGCTTAAAATGATCTATCTGGTCTCTTTTTGTGAGTGCCTTGGCAGAGGTGTCAAGTAACACTTGAGTGCACTTGTTAGGTATCTATACTTTACTCCATTACTTATTTTTCTTCCTACTTCTGACTTCTACTCATT